TGAATTGAGAAAATATATGTACTTCGATGCCAACGCTAAATCCAGAAATTCTGCGAACAAAAGTACCTTTGAGATTTCCTTTCCTGCCACAAATGTAGAAAAGGTATGAATGGGAATGTATTACTGTAGTGTATTTCAGACGAAGATATAACCGAAACCGTTCATATTCGTCTCCTGCGCTGGGAAGATCTCCATTCTCATTCATCGCTTTCTTACACATTTTTACAACCCTAAGCTAACAGGTGACTGTTTCCCCCCTTCGTCAGGACTGCGTCGACTGGGCCAACGGCGTGTGTCGTCTGCTGAACATCGACAGCAACATCGTCAACCTGTGGGCCTTTACTGACATGACAGGGACTCAGCTGCTCTCATTTACTTACGAGGATTTCTGCAATCAAGTCGGCACGGTGTACGGCCTAAGCTTCTACAGGGAGTTCATGCGACTTCGGGAAAGCAGGACGGCAGGTGAGGAGATCCGTGTGTTAGAGCGCCTTCTTTTGGCCTTGGTCTGAAGGACTTTTGGGGCAGACAGACCTTATTATGCCAGTTTTATGTCCTTAATCTTTGCCGTGATGCGTGTTCGAACCCTCTTGGTTGGAGATACAATTGCATATATGTACGTGTGTGTGTGTGTGTACAAATAATTATACATATACACGTATATATACATATCCATACATATATGTATATAATTCATCATGTTTATAAAGCTATTATTCATCCATCTTTAAAGGTCAGCGTCACATGTCCACCTCCTTTTGAAGATCCACTTGTTATTATTATCTTTATAAAACTCTGCTGCGGCGACCTTTCCCTCTACCGCATTTCATCTGCACGCAGCATAAGGAACCCAGCTTGCCCTATCAGTGATCAGCAAGTTCCCACAGCAATGCATCCATTCCCACCCGTGAATATGTATCAACCCGGGAAGCGAGTCCCTTCCAGTGGGCGGTGTGCTTCCGAGCGCGGTTGGAATGGGCGAATGGGCTGCGCTGTGCTGGGGTTGGACCCATTGCAGAGCTGCGCCGACTGGGCGAGTTTGGGAATACGAGTGGCAAGAGCTTGTTTATATATATATATATATATATATTATATATATATATATATATATATATATAGATAGATAGATAGATAGATAGATAGATAGATAGATAGGTATATATATATAAGAATATATACCACGATGATCCAGTGGTATGAGCACTGGACTTATTCTTGGTCCCTGCCACCGCAGTTGCTATGCAACCGCAAGGTTCTGGGTTAGAGCCCGAATAAGCTCTGAGTAGTATGCTCGGGTATCATCCTTTACTACAATGCATATTCAACGATGAAATGCTACGGCTATTCATCAAGATGAATTATTTGTAACATGGAAGAATCAATATCTCACTTTTTCTTTCTCTGTGTGTGTATATATATATATATATATATAATATATATATATATATATATATATATATATATATATATATATATATATATATATATATATATATATATATATATATATATATATGAAAAAACACTACCGTATTGATATTATGGTAGAAAAACCACACAATGCAGAAACTACATTTATTGAAGAAAGTGAGAAAGTGAGTGTCTCACTTTCTTCAATAAATCGTTTGTGCATTGTGGTTTTTTTTCTACATATATATATATATATATATATATATATATATATATATATATATATATTATATATATATATATATAATATATAATATAATATACTGTCAACGTAAGAAATGGGGAGCGTAGAGGTTTCGTGGAATTAAAGGGGTCTTGTTTGAGGAGTTTATTGGGAGATAATGGTGTGACCCCGAGAGTGACCCCGTGCCTCGAGTGCCGAGGCGAGAAGGGTGACCTTCTGTCCTGTGACTGCTCTGCTAGGTCTCGGTCTGCCTCTGGTGCTCTCCCTCCTCTCTGCCTGACGAGACGTCCTTATATCCAGCGACTTCTTGTCCTGCTGGTGGAGGTGCCTGGTACCAAATCTTGGGTGTCCATTCTTCCGGGCGTGACGAAGGGCTGGATCGCCGGAAGAGAAAGTCTTGGGCAGGCAAGGAAGGTGTGAACAGCTGTTTCCTCTGGACTGAGAGAGGAAGGCACAGCTTGGGAGGACGGAAGTGTATTGTTGACATATACATATCCTCTTCATAGGCGGCGAGATCTGTCTTAATGTTTGTTTCTTACTTCCCGTCATATTAAACATCACTTGTACGTTTATCATGAATCACAAGCATCAGCAAAGGAGTAGCAATGACCCACCATCCACGACCCTTCGCCTTATCTTCACAGAGAACGCGCAGCAGCCACCGGGGAACCCAGGACCTGCAAACCCTCCCTTGGAACACGCAGGTAAGGCTCCTCATTCCGTTTTCACAACGCCAACATATGTGATAGAATCTCATACCGAAGCTTAATAAATTTCTGTTTAAAGAAAAAAGGAAGATAGAAAAATTACCAGTGAAAAATACTCGCCACAGATCCCCCCCTTTTT